AAATTAGATTTAGTAACAATAATTATAAATATACTTTCACTTAAATTCAATTGTGCCTTTCAGTTATGATGTATTTCTATGAAGTACAATGGGTATTAGTAATAACTCATTGATTCCTAGACTGGTTATGCTTCTTGGTCTGATTTTAACCCTATGATTCTAAGGACTTTAAATCACAATGATCATGTAGATTAACATTCCCCATCATCAGTATTTTAGTTCGTTTCATGCAAGATTTTATCTTTATTGATCTCAATGGTCATGAGAAAACAATTAATTACATAGGATGGTCATCATATGCAATGAACACACATTAAAGTTAATTACTTTATTAACCTAACCTTAGGATTTGGTTCATTACTAGTTATAATTGCCAATGGTCATGAACATAAATAATTCAAGCTAACATTGTCAGATTGGTCATCTAGACTATATTAACTCAACAATAGGTAATAAATATAGAAACTTTAACACATATGAATCTTTGATCAAACAAACACGATAAATTAAATAACTCAAACTATCTAAATCACATAAATGACACCAAAACTTAAGAGTTCATGTACTCCTAGTGAAAGCAAAGGGTTGTTAGCCTATAATCAGATAGGAAGAACATAAAGAAATCATCAAAAGTATGTTAAACATGTTAAACAAACTAATTGAAGTCCTATTTATCTGGCTCATGATTCTTCTTATCCTTGCTCTAAATTGCATTTCTAGCTTCAAAATTTCCTTGGAATAGCTTCTAGTAGCTTGTAACGCCTGTGTTTCCGGGCTTTCCATTTTTAGCAATGTAATAGTCTAGGTTAACCTTTGTAATCCATTTTGAAATAATAGAAGTGTATTATTTGAGTATTATGTGTTTTGTGTTTAATTGCTTAATTATGTGGTTTGATTAATTAAGAATAAAAATAAGCGTAAAAATTTAAGTGTAAAATAAACTTGATATCTTTAGATAATGTTTTAGTAGTTGAAACAAGGTTTCCGATGATATAAAGAATGCCGAAATCCGAGTTATAACGAAGAAGTTATGACCTGTCGAAGTTTCGCGACAAAACCGGCACGACACAGCGCGACGTAAAAAGTGAATTTATGTTAGAGAGATATTTAGCCTTAGCAATCTAAATGAAAGTCTTAGAATATGTTAAACCATGAGCGTGCATAAAAAGAACGCCCAAATCTGACTTCGTATGAGGAAGTTATGATTTTTCGAAGTTTCGACTTAGCGGTATGCAGCCCGAATGCTCGATTTGAGACCGAGCGGTTTTTAGCCGAAACAATCTAAATGAGAATCGAAGGTCTCGATAATAGGAGTAAAACGATAAAAAGATAGGCGAAAACGGACGTCGGATAAAGAAGTTATGATTTTATAACGGAGTTTTCCTGTCCCGACCTACTAAAAATAAATAATAAAAATAAATTCAAAATTAGCCGACGGAGTCTAAATGAAAGTTGTAGATCGTAGTCTCACCTACGCGTGGATATAAAGAACGTCAAAAACGGAGTTCGTATGAGGAAGATATGAATTTTTTAAGTTTATTAAATATTTTCGATATTTAATTTAAATATATATTGGCCGATATTATCCATGGGGGGAGTCAGCGACCTTATCGTCGTTACGCCCCACGTAACCTAAAATTACGCCCCGCGTAAATCGCAGATCCAGCCCCTATAAAAGGAAGTCGAGTGCAGCCGATTCAGTTGCTCATTTCTTCCTGTTTTCTCGCGTTTTTGCATCGTTTTTCGTGCAAGAAATATCCCGAAGCCCCGATATCATTCCCGAGCCCCGAAGCAAGTCCCGAGGCCCCGAAGATCCCGAGAAGTGCAAATCCCAAGCCGAAGCTCTGCCCGCGAGGAGTCCGGTTTTTGTGAAGATCTTCCAGATCTACCGAAGAATACTACTTCTACAAGTTGTAGTGCTGTCCGATCATCTTCTGATCAAGTGAGTGTGTAGTTACTTTCTTCTAAACGCATAATCATGAAGTATTTTATACGAAATACGTGTTATGTGTGTAATTTTGTTGTTATGTGCGTGAATGTATATTCACTCTCTTTAATCTCATAGATCTGATTTGTTTTCTATGAAATACGTGTTATGTGGGTATGCCTCATCTGTTATGTGAAATATGTATTGAATGAAAATGCTATACAGGTTTTAAACTATGTATAAAAATATATATTTTTATCTACTAATATGTTGGGTAGAACATGAGTAGATAGTTGGTGTGTAATAAACAGATGAGAGGTCTCGATGTTGTTGTTGTTGTTGACCTAGTTATTCAGCGGAGTATGGATAACGACCACAGACTCCTTCTAGACAGTCTCGTGGAACGCTAGCAGGTTCATAACCTATAGGTGTTGTGAACGATGTGTTCACCGATGTACTCTATCCCCCTCATTGTTGCCTTTAGGATATCTATTGTTGAGGAAACCCCTTAGCAGTAATGTCCGTCCCGATGAAAATCCTAGATTAGGTCCCTTGAGATAGATGTTGTTTTAGGTAAAGTGAGGATAACGGGAATGGGTAATCAGGATAGTGATTGGTTGGTGAAATTAAATATAATTTATTTATTGTGGGTTGAAAACCCTATATGCTCACCAGGCTCCCAAGCCTAACCCACTTAGTTTTATTTGTATTACAGGAAGTGGCGCAAGGGCGTAAGATGGATGAATCATCGAGTTGTTTTGTTTACAAGTCTGTATATGTATATATTTGTTGAATGACTTGTAATGTTATCGTTTATGCTTTATGGTCTGTATCAGAACATGACACCCCGAGTTTTAATTATATAATGAAAATACATCTCTTGATGAAATGCTTTAATAAATATTATTTTATCATGTTTTGTTTTGGGAACAAATTCCGCAACACTTTTAAATCAAAAGGATTTACTCTGAAATTATTTTAAAAAACATAAATGAAATCGGTCATTTCTGGCCGAGATTTTGGGGATGTCACATAGCTCAAAAAACTGTTTTTTTCTGGTTAGACCCTTTTAACGTTGATGATAACCCTCTATTTATACTTTTTAGAACTAACCCAGAACTGACCCAATTATGAGGCTCGTAGGTAAATGATTTTTTGTATAACTCAAACTCTTCTATGTGGCGCGTATGGAAGATGTATGATGCACAATCTGCTTAATATGCCCCTTTTTCCTCTTTCATTGCAGCTCTGTTTCGATACCTTTTTGCTTAGTAAAGTATTTTATCTGCAAAATATAATTTCCAACTATTATGAAAATTTAACTCGAAACATTAAGATATCACACGAAATGTATATATAAATATAGCGATATTCGGCTTATATCTACACTTTATTCGAAATTTCTTATAAGTAATTATGATCACTACATCATTTTATCAGTATTTAAGTCATTTCTCATAGCTCTAAAATTGCCCAATGTCACATATGCAATACATTGATGGTATTTTGCACCAAGCCATAATGTCTTATATAATAAACTTATCTATTCTTCGAAAATGTTTCTTTGTGGATTAGGTCGATGTCAAACTTAAAATTAATATCATACTATTTTAACTTATTTTTTTTTTATATTTTTAACATTAATTATAATATTTTCATAATACTTTTATAATTATAATATAAAAGGGCCCCACCCTACCCTCCCTTTGAAATACAAATGAAATATTATCTTGAAATCAATATCAATTTTTTACATGTAAAAACGGGGCAAATATTATTTTATTTCCAATTCTACTTCATTTTTATACCTTTTTTACATCCATAAATATATTCCTTAACATATTATTTCTTTAAAATTTATATTGATTACAAAAGCACTCTTCACTATAATTTTTGTTGTAATAACTTTAAAAAATATATTGTTATAAAATAAAATCAAATAAATTATTTGCATATTGTGAATTGATATTAATTTAATATAACATAGTATTATAATTCATAATTATTAAATTTATACAATACTTAATCATATTTTATAAACTAGAAATAAATGAACATGATACTTGGGGATTAAATTTGGCACTTGAAAGCTTCCCGCTATGTTGTTGTAAAAGAATAATATAGACCAAAATTGGTGATATACTATTTTGTGACACCAAAACGGTGTACGCAATCAGATTGAGTGAAGATGGGCTTACAACAATTTGGTGTAAAAATTAGGATTTGCGGTAGGGTTAAAGATGACCTTAGGGTTAGATTTTGATGATCTTATCACCGCAGATGATGCCTCTGACCATCGATCGATGTCATTGTACTCTCTCTTTTACTTCTACTTTCCCTACCACTCCTCTCGTTTTTAGTTTAGGTATGGGTTCAATTTCAGATGAAAGATTTTTGCAAGCACATTTATGGGTTTCTAAGAATCAAGCACTTTGATTTCTCCAAGAAGATTTATGGTTTGTGTTTTTTTTGTTCATGGATTATTTTGTCCCAGGTGGTGTTCCAACTTCTACACAATTATTCTTTTTGGTCAGACATCACCTTCTAGTGGAAATCAGGAAACCATTACAAGCTTTGTTTTACTAGAGATGATGTTTTGCCTTAGAATGCCTATAAAACCACCTATGTTTAAGCTATGTTTGAAGGACTAACTGAAAAGCTAACTGTTAGCTGAAAAACTAACTGTTAAATAAAAAGCTAACTGATAGCTGAAAAACTAACTGATAAAAAATAATATTTGGTAAAACTAGCTGAAATATATAAAGTTACATAAAAAGACATGTTAGAGTATGTATTTCTATAATTAATTAAAGGTGTATTTGGAAAATTAAAAAAAAAAAAAAAACTCCTAAAAAGCTAATCTAAGTAGCCTTTCAAAAAACTAGCTTATAAGCTACTTTTTGATTTACCAATCGCAACAACATAAAAAAATTCAAAAAATAAGCTAGCTGTAACACGCCAAACACAGTCTTAGTCTTGTAAGATGTTGCCTAATTTCAGTCACTTGGGTGCTAAGTCGATTGATCAGCATTACTTTATGTTGTAGCAAATAACACCAATCAAGGTTAAATTTGCTCAAAGTCGAAGTCTACTTATAGTCTTTCGCATCTGAATTGGAAGAGTAATCTACTCAAAGTCAATGTAAAGATCAAAGTCAAACTCAATGTCTGCTTCCAACATTAGTTTTACAGTTTGGTTTCTGTGGTTTGCTGTGTTTAGGATTCCCATCTCCACTCTTACATTTAACATCCCTTTATACTTTACTTCTCTTTTTATTACATAGTCTCTCTATGGGTTTTACATTATGTGCATGTAATGCCCTAGTAACATTAATCAAGCAAATTACACATCACCTTATCAAAGAAGAAGCACAAAATCAAAAGAATGATTTTCAAAATTTTCTATAAGAACAATTAAGGTCTTAAATAAGAAGATATGATTAGCCAAAAACTTTTCTTCTTTATTTGTTCTTTTCACTTGTTTTGTCAGCTTGACTGGGTGCTAACCCTATCTCCTGCATTTGATGTTCAACAGTAACCAAGCCAGTCTGCGCAAGAAAGCTGCAGAAACACCATTAAAAGATCATTAGTAAACTCCAAAGTAACCATTATTGATCATTAGTATATCACTGACATAAGTAATCTAATGTAGTTATGTAGATAATTAAAGATTCAAACAGATTCAATCATCAAAATTTACCAAATATAAATGCAAATTTAAGAACCTTACCCGCTGAGAAGAAAGAATAGGATGCCGGTGATAAGAACAAGGAAGGTAACATGAAGCACCATTGCAGAGTCGCTAGAAGAGAAAGCTAAGCCCAACATAGCACAAAGACAAACACCCAACATGAAGAATGCTCCTTTTAATGCATTCCAAGTTGGACCCTGATATCAAAACAAGAGAAAGATTAGTAATTGATCAATAAAATGGAGAAAATTAATACTTCGCGATTTGAAAAGTCTACGAACGTTAACACCAGGGGCTAAGGCTCCGAGAAAGACGGCTGTTGCAGATGACACATCTTCTACAGATTGTTTTCCTTCCATTTTGGGTGGCTTGATCTGGAAATTAGGGTTAAATTCTGAGTTGTACAGAAGGGCGATTCTTACTCCAAATATATATGAAGAGGGCTTTATAACTTCCTTGAGGATATGGAGGGAAAATTAAGATTGAGATCACGCAATCTAGCAAATAAGTGATTGCAGCAAGTCGATTCTGCAAGCGATTTAGTTGATTTTGACCAAAAAATCAGATCGCATCTACACTTTCATCTCAATTTGGAAATTTTGGCGGACTGTTTTCGGCGTGGATTCTCAAATCACAGTCACAGATATGATTAATTGGCCCATGGCTCATGGCCCAATAACCCAATAGCATCACAATGTTGAATAAACTTTTTGATTGTTTTGATTCTTTCTTGATAATGTTACTATGGTTTGGGTAAATGATAGTGTTTTTAGTTTGAAAAGTTATTTATTGTTTGTTTTTTTATGCGTTTGGTTCATATTACCTATAAAGACGAATATTTAGGAAAAAATTATGGGGTAGGTAAGGCTATGGAGAGTGGTCACCACCAACCCACCGAAAAAGTGTTTGTACATTTGTTCAATGCGAGTTTCACTACCAACCCACTATACATTTGAAATGATTACCACTACACAATATTCTTTTTTTTTTATTTATTTTTTATTTTTTGCTATATTATATTAAATAAAAAACGTAATTTTAACATAAATAAATTTTTTGAAAACACAAAAAAATAAAACCATATTTCATTAATTAAAAACATGGAAATTTAAAACCTAAATTACTAAAATAAACATAAAACATAACAAATAAAACATTACATTACTTAAAAAGCATAAAAATTTAAAACATAAAAATCATAGACAAATATTACTCGTAGTCGTCACCGTTCCCATCCGCCCCGTCGACTCAACACCATCATTCTCTTTGTCTTCATTGTCATTTCCCCCTTAGAATTGTCTTTCTCATATGTGTTTGGTCAAATCGTGATGTTGATTTTGATGTGTTTCACGATATATCAACAAATAGCTCTGTCCTCTAATACAAGTTGGCAGCCCGACGGATAAAGTATATCCTTCACAGTATATGAACAAATGTATCGGGCTGCCAACTTGTATTAGTGCATGTGGATTAAATATATCGTTCTCGGTATATGAACAAATAGTTTTGTTCTCTAATATAACAATCGGGACCCCATGATCACCCCGCGTGAATTGACCACGTCATGTATTGGGACAATTTGTCCACTCCCAATGTATACAATCGATACTACCAAGCATCCCTGGAAAACCATGTTTAGCTTAATGCGTGACATACAACTGTCCGACATAACTTTTAGTTGGATGTCGTAAATATATGTCACGGTAAAACTTTATAACACACTCATAGAAAAGATATGTATAGTCTCGACCCGTCTTTTCAGACATTTTCAAAAACTCATCAAAGGCGTCTGTGGCTATGCCATATCCCAATTTTCTAAGAGCATCCATGCATTTTTTTATTGTAGTAAATTCATTTTTACCTCTAGCATCTCATCTTAATTGGAAAAACTCATAATTACGTTCCAAATCTCTAGCTATACGTAAGAATAAATTTCTACTAATATGAAAACGTTCTTCAAAATTCGATAGATCATATAAACTATCAGGGGCAAAATAATCACCTACCAAAAGTTCATTTGTCACCTCTCGATCTCAGTTGATCCATTTTCTACGCTTATTCTCGTTATGTGAACTTTCACCTCACTCATGAACCATGTCTTGTACCGCAAACAATAGTTTGTACAATACCAACTCGTCATCAGAATCATCATCTATTTTTTGGTAGAATGTGTGTGTTTGATTTGAAAGAGTTTGTGGGTTTTGTTTTGAAAAATATGTGTAAAATAGATGTATATATAGAGAGAAATTAAATTTAAAAAATAATTTTCTTTTATTAAATTCTCAAACGATCGAAAAGTTGACTAGCCAATCAGTTCTTCCGTCTTCTTTTATCCTCATCGCTACGTCACGACCAACATACCAAAGCTGGGGCGGTGTTCACGCGTGGAGAGAGCCTCCACATAAGCAGCTCACGTGTGGAGCTCTCTCCATTCTTGATAGCCTAAGGTAAGGTGAGGGAGTGAGGTTGGGGTGTGTTTATTTAAATAAATTAAAAAAAATCAAGGGCAAAATAATTTTTTCGGTAAGATAGGGACCAAGCACGTAACAAAAACAAATAGTAGAGACCTTTCGAGTTAAAAAAATAAGATGAGACCGAACACACAAATTACCTCAAACCTTAGGGACCATTCATGTAATTTAATCTTTTTTCTTTATTATCTTGTTGAATCAATATCATTATTTATTATATTTGGAAAAAAAGTTTAGCTCCAAAGTCATGTCTAATACTACTGTTAGGAAGTAAAGTGGATAACTAGCAAAACCAAAAGCACACAAGACACAGTAGTTACGTGGTTCGATCAAAGATACCTATTTCCACGGGAATGAGGGGAGTATTCTTTATTTCAGAGCTCTCACACACAGAGGTTACAAGTACAATTACACAGAGATTCGTCTATCACTCTAGAATTCAAGATACACACTGATCTAGCATGCATCCTTATCTATACTTGAGGGGTCAGACCTGAAACCCTAATGGGCCAAACCCATTGGCTCATAGGCCCATGAAGTGTGTCAACCAATCACAATCTGACATGCAACATCTTCTTGAACATTCTTGAGCATTATCATCTTCTAGGCATACTTGGATCAACATGACACAACAAAAGGAATCAATATGGCGCATCATGTACCAAGATGATCCATGACAGGGGTGAGCATTTGGACTGGTGGACCGAAATGGACCGGTGAACTGAACCGAACCGTTTTTTTGGACCCCCGGGCCGGTTCTCGATCCTAAGATTTCTATCCAGTCCGGTCTGGTTTTTACTTGGTTTAGAACTGGTTGGACATGTAATCTGTGACGTTTTTTAAACACTCATAACTCATTCATTTTAAGTCGGACTGACCTTCGGTCTTTTCCAACATTTAGTTTATAGTTTGTAGATGAATTTAGACTATAATTTTGTTTATTTTGATATTATATTCACTGAGTTACAATCCTTCAAAGTAGAGCTATCAAAGCTGAAAAAATTCAGTTTTTCAGCAAGATTTTGTAATATGTGACGTTTTTTAAACACCCATAACTCATTCGTTTTAAGTCGGATTGACCTATGGTTTTTTCCAAAATTTAGTTTAAAGTTTGTAGTTGAATTTAGACTATAATTGTGTTTATTTTGGTATTGTATTCACTGATTTACAATCTTTCAAAGTAGAGCTATCAAAGCTGAAAAAATTCAGCTTTTTAGCAAGATTTTGTAATCTGTGACGTTTTTTAAACACCCATAACTCATTCGTTTTAAGTCGGATTGACCTCTGGTTTTTTCCAACATTTAGTTTACAGTCTGTAGATGAATGTAGACTATAATTTTGTTTATTTTGGTATTTTATTCATTTAGTTACAATCTTTTAAAGTAGAGCTATCAAAACTGAAAAAATTAAACTTTTCAGCATATGTGATGTTTTTTAAACACCCATAGCTCATTCGTTTTAAGTCGGATTGACCTCCAGCTTTTTTCCAAAATGTAGTTTATAGTTTGTAAATGAATTTAGACTATAGTTTGGTTTATTTTGGTATTATATTCACTGTGTTACAATCCTTCAAAGTAAAGCTATCAAAGCTAAAAAGATTCAACTTTTGAGTGGAAGACTAGATTACGAGTTTATGAAGTTTGTTAGTTTGATTGATTTTAAAGTTTAAACTATGATTTTTGTTGTTACGGTAATACTTTTGTATGTTTGTCTTAAAATTGTATAACTTTTGTTGGTGAACTTGATTTATATGTTAGTTGTTTTTATTTGGAAAATTAATTTTTGCAAGTTATAATATTATACATCAATGTAGGTTAGTTATGCATGAAACGGAAACATATTAATTTTGCAAGTTATACTATTATACATCAATGTAGATTACTTATACTCTATGCAATTAAAGTTATACCGGTCCAAACGGGTCCAAAAACCAGAAAACCCGGACACATACACGGACACGACTCATCCGGTCCGGTCCATGGTCCACAAAATTCTCTATAACCGATCCGGTCCGGTCCAAATGCTCACCCCTAGTCCATGATGGCGCAATAGCTTCTTCATGGCGCAACAGGTACCTAAATGGCGCAAGAGCATCAAGTATGGCGCACAACATCAATCTTGGAGCAACAACATCACCATGAGCAACAGGCACATGCATGGCTCAAGAAGAAAACAAGACGGCACAAGAGCATCCATCTTAACCCATCTCTTCATCATGTGGCGCAACAAGGACCCCTTATTGCTCCATATCCTTTCCAAGTGCTCCAAACCTTTTCCAAGTGCTCCAAACTCCTTGCAGGTGCTCCAAACCCCCCTTGAACACGATCCGTTCCTTTGACACTTGATCAATTCATTTGTCTGATGATCCATTCATCTCTCACAAGATTCGTTCCTTTGTCACATGCTCCATAAACTCCAAGTAATCCATTGAGGTCCAAATGCTTCATGAACATGATCTAAATGCTCCAAATGCTCGGATCACATTTAACAACTGGCTTTTGGGAAGTTATTTTACTTTTAATAAATTAGATTTTTATGATTTTAAAGAACAATTTATTTCGAGGTTGAAGTTTGAGAGACCGAATATAAACTAACCTTTTTTTTTTTTTGAAGTGTTAAATCACATATATTAAGATTCTTATAAAAATTTAGTATACTAAATGGCAATGTCAAACTCGGCTTCTTCGTTTAAATACTTGGAATCGAATGAATCACAATAGGAATTGTATTTGTACTTTCGTAAGTTAGTACCCCATGCATACATGTCTTAAATAGCATGTATGATGAATATCTTTGAAATATATTCAAAAATTATACCTAACAACAGCATATTCCAAAACTCATAGAAACTACATGTTTGAAATTAATAGTATGAACACATTCGAAATTTATAACTAGTTTTTTTAGAAAAGTAGGTTCTGAAACTTATAAAAAAAATAGTACCAAATTTTAAAATAAATAAATTATATAACTTGTTTTCTGTAAAACAAAATCACATTTTAGGTTTTTGGTCTATTCAATCTTTAACTAACAAATGCATAATCATGATGTAGTTTCTTGTAATTCTCAGCTTTTGTTATGAACTTATAATGCAGTAAAACAAAATTTAATTCATACAATTGTTGCAATTTAATAGTTATCAATCAACAAAGAAAACATTAGCACCCTTTCTTCCAAAATCACTCTATATTCACTAGAAATTACAATGTACAGATCTTCGATACAAGCCTCAAACAAACGAGACAAAATACACAAAACATTACAAATACAATACAGAAGTTTATATTAACATAATCATAAAAAATATATATATATTCAATTCCCCATGTACGGATTACCTCTAAACAGAGACTCATTCGGCAGCTGCCATTCCCTCTCTTTCACATGCTGCAAAAGTGGTGGCTGTTCACCACCACCACCGCCGCCACCACCACCGCCAAACAAAAACCTCTCCCTTGGATTCTCCAAATACACCATCCGGTTCGTAAGCAATGGGTTTCCCCACCTATCAACAACATCATATCTCGAACCGCCACCATATCCATGGAAGTTTCCGGCGATATTTCCGGCAGGGTTGTTTCCCGAAACCGGCCAATGAAGGTTGGGATTCGGAAGATTTCCATTGCCTCGCTCCAGACTTAGGTTGTTTGTATACCGGTAAAGCCATTCCGAAGAACTTAATCCATAAACCGGTGGCCGGAATCCATCCTCAAAGCCCGGAACTCCAGAACTAAAATTGTCCGGTAACAATGGAGCTGAAGGAATCGGAGCCACATAAGATGATGTCGGCATTTCAGAAATGGGAGACAACTCTCTCTGGTTTGGACTTCGTGATCCTCTTTCTCTTTCTAGGTTTAAACTTTCTCTATTAAGAACCCAGCCACTTAGGGAAGGAGGTCCTGCAGCATTTTGTGCACCGATTAGAGATGAAGATCGTCGAAGATGTTCTTGATCAGAAGTTTCAGTTTCAGTCTGAATCGGTTCAGAGTTGTATCTCGTGAGAGGTTTGAAGAGAATCACCTCCTCCTCTTCAACGCCACTCGATTCTTCTTCCTCGATAATCTCTTTCTCGTTTTTCTTTGAAAACTTCCTTGAAGTTCGATCATAAATGATCGATCCACACTTCAATTTCTCGGCGACTTTAATGGAAGCATGAAGAACTCGATTGACACGGATCGAATTCGAATTCCCGAACTCGAATCTCCGTCTATTTTCGGAATTACAGAAATCTAGAAACTCGTTTGATTGGGAAACAGGTTCGAATCCTCTCAACTCATAGTCTTCCCACAAAGCAATTCGATTCGAGAAATTAGGGTTTTCATCAAATCCGCTCACAAGATCAACCAAAGCACCAAGGAAATACGATTTAGCATTACAAACCTTTTCATCTTCATCATAACTTCCTGCAAAATCAATCACACCAACATACCATTCCAGGAACACGAGCACCGCAGGCAACAACGAGCAGCAGTTCTGTCGATCGGATCCGCCGGTGGTAAGGCTGAGACACCGCTGAATAAAATGGCCCAAACAAGTAAACATACACGTCCAGGCCCATGAACTACATGCTGAAAGCTGTTCGTCTTTTTGGCCTTTTAGTTCTTTAAGTTCCGGAGTTTTCATCAGATTATGGATTACAAAGATGAGAATAGCGACAGATTGAAGAGCTCGATAAGGTCCTTTCCTTGACGAATCGAACTGATCATACGGTTCTAACGATGAATTCAATTCCATTTCGTTTAATGCCAATACTGCTTCCAACTCCTTCATTGTTGATGCGAAAGTGTGAGGTAAATCCTCAAAACTCGGTTTAACCAGAAAGAAACTCATCATCCTCACAAAAAGAGGCCAAAGATCTGTTTTCACAGGAAAAACATGCTCACTCCCATTCGCTCCTAATTTAATATTCGTAGAATCCATGCTTGAATGCGACTTAATCTGCGATGAAAGCCTCTTCAACGGCTTTGAGAAATCAATATGTGCATTGGTAGAAAGCGATTGTAATTGCGATGATTTGTTCTGCAAATTAACATCAATCAAATTAGGGTTTTTCAGCTTCTTCATATAAATCAAAAAATGAAAATATCAACTTGTTACCTTCTCAAAAAGCAACATAATATTATCTCGAGCATCTGGGAAAGGCTCTTTCACAGCCAAACTTCTTATACAATGATACAACGCAAGAAAATCATCACCAATATATGTTGCCAATAATGCCAACTTCAAAAAATTCATCAATTATTTTCACTTCATAAACAATAAACAATTATACAAAACAATTTTTAATTTTATACCTGATTTTGAGGGTTTCCACTATGAGGCCAAATTGTTGTTGCTTCTAAGTAATAAATAGCTGCCACCCCCCATTTTTTTTGAACCTCGGGCTTTTTACAAAGCTCAACATATCTTGAAAGATCACCTAAGCAAACTAAAAACCTATGACATACATAATGGCATTTTTGTAATATTGTGTTTTCATTAGAAACAGATCCTCCACTTCCATTCTTCTTCAACAATGTTTCTTCAGATACACCACAAGTTTTTCTGAATTTTGCAATTAGGTCCTTGTAGAAGTCGGCAACTTTAGAGAGAAACAATTTGAATCCTTCCACGTGGCTATTAAGGTTGTTTGTGGTTTCTGTTCCCGAAGACACTTTCTTGATTTTCTTACGATATTCATCAATGTGTTTGTAGTGAAGCTTCCATAGAGAATATTCAACTTCTTGAAGATCAACTTGTTGGTAGTCATTTAGAATGATTTTCTCGTAACCAGATCGCACTTTAAGATAAAGATCTTGAACCTCTAAATGTTGTATGCCTTTATGTTGAATTGTTGCCCATAAGAGCTTTTCTGTATTAACAACCTGAACATAACATAAAGAAAGGTAAATCATAAATGATCTTTCTTTATATATATATATAGAAAGTATCAATTTTGGTGTAAATGGTTGTGAAGCTTGTAAATTGACCTCAAGAAATGAAGTCTGCTTTTCTCTCTGATCTCTAAGTGTTGAAGGCTGGTTTCCATTCATGATTATTGTGGAACGATTTGAAGATCGAATCTATAGTTTATGCACAAATGAACTTCATTCATAAGAAATTCAAAGATTTCATTTCTTAGATACAATTAACACTTTACAAATGTATAGAAAAAGAAGGAAAACTGAAAGGAAAAACGTAAGAATAAATCAGCTACTCGTACACTCAGAAATATGATAATTCTGTAAGAGGTCGAATCAGTCAGTCAAATTATCAAACACTTGAAGTGCATAATTCAATACAGATTGACGATGCGATAATAACAAGAAATTTGAACACAAAATTGAAAACCCATGTGGAATAACACTTCGGATTATCAATAAAAGTTGCTATGATTACAGAAATCGAAAAAAAAAAAAAAAAAGTAAATTTTGGATATGAAGATGCACGTTACCTGAAGAAGATTCTGCACGGGTGTAGAAGAATAAGATGAATAACTCCTCGGATTAGATTAACAAGAAACGCTAAATTCTATCGACTTCTGGAGAAAAAAAGACAGCGAAAAATATAAAAGTGTTGGGATTATAGGAAGATGAAGTGAATTTGGTCGGGAGTGGGCAAACTGTTATGATGTTATTGGTTTGTCTTTTAGAACAATGATCCTTGCGTCTGAGATTTACCCAGAAGAAAAGGTAGCTGCTTCTAGTCTGGTGTTCTTAAATGACGATCATACCCTCGCTTTGCTTTTCTCTCATCCAAAATAGATATAACAATGGGATTTTTATTTATTTATTTATTTAGTTAGTTAGTTTCTATTTATTTATTTTTTATTCCTTTTAAATCGCCAGAAAAATCTTCAATTTTAAAACGTAGTTAGTTACAGACTCTATTATAGCTTTCAAAATCAATTATTGTGGTCTTTCTATTTAAAATGTTTATTTATTTATTTATTTATTATTATTATTATTTTATGAATGTTTGTTTATCAAAGTCGACACTCATCTATACAGTGCTCTTTGTTTTTATTTCGAAATATACATGATGCAGACACATATATGAAAAAGGTGTTTTTCGAGATGTTTATTGAATATTTGGCATTAATGAGTACAAAACTTTTTTTTTTTTTCTTTTGTTGTAAGTTTTGAGAATAGTTTTATATATTGCTAAGTAAGTTTAAATCTCTTGTTTCGAAACTCTCTTTGTCACTTGAAACAAATTCAAAATATATACAAAAAATTTGAAGCTTTTTTTTATCTTGTAATCATAAAAAAGTTTACAAGTTTTTTGTGCCTAGTTGTCTCTAAACCGAGAAGAAGAACACCAAAGCGATGAGTGAGTGTAAGATATTGGTGTTCTGTAAAGCGTTGTGCTAATCTAATGGAATGATATAAACCAATGGTGGAGCGAGAAATTTCGAGGATAAACACATAATCACAATTCAAAATGGAATTTGCCCAAAATTGCTTTGCATTTAGAGGTGAGATGTTTCTGCAATAAAGTTCACACTTAGGTACAATGTCATTATATAAAGAAACTTGGACTGAAATTGTAACTTTTTCCCAACCATATTTGGAATGTGAATCAAGTGCTAGATCAAGGATTAAAACAATCAAACTTAGATTCAAGGTAGGGATAAAATAGGTCCAAACCCGGACCGGATGGATCGGACCCGGAAAACCTAAAATCGGTTAACGAGATTTTATAAAATCGGAAACTTAATCGGTATATAGGAACCAGTTTCGGTTCGGTTTCGGATACGATACCGGGTAAAATGGGTCTACAACCGAAAAACACGGAAACATCAAAGTGGATAGGATGAAACGGATAAAGTGTGTTTAGAACCGCAAAACTCGAAAAACCTGAATTTTATGGTAATTACTTACTAATTAGTGGGTTAAACTTTAAAAAAATTCATATTGATATCTCGACTTCGGAAGATTGTAAGTCATTGAATATGAAACCAAAATTGACAAAATTATAATATAAAATCGTGTACAAACTCTCTACTACACTATGGAAAAAACTGTATGTCAATCTGACTTTAAACTAATGAGATATGCACGTGTTAACGTTTTCATAAAATTCAAAGTACAAAAACAAATAGCTGAAAAGTTAAAATTTTCAGCTTGATATTCCGAAATATTTTTATTAAACATATAAATTTTTTTTATCTTACATATATTTTACAATAAACTTACAGATGCGAATTAAAATATCATACAAATATATGGGAACCTCGACCTAAAATTACATGATATTAAAGGACTTAAGGTTTTTTTTTTCGGGAAATACCTTAAAAACTAAAAGTAAATAAAGGAGAGAGACTTACATGCAAACTTGGATATCTTACAACATTTATACAACAAAGTAGAAGAATAGCTTCAAGAACTTTAAACTGAATGGCTTGAAAGAGTGAGAGGGAGAAGTTTTTTGCTTCTGCTTGTATAAATTGTTTAGAAACAAAAAAAAATTATCAAGACGGAAGAGAAAATTGATACACCAATTTTTATAGAATTTTAAAAACAAGAAATAAAACTTTTAAGAAAAAAAAAGTTACATAAGATACTCTAGAATTAATACAGAAAAAATTTGATGCATTTGAAAACAATATCAAAGGAAAAAATATTATCCAAGAAAACATACTTGCAGAACAAAACTATACAGTACCTTCTTATACACAAACTATATGTAATACTGATAATTTAACTTCTTTAAAAGTAAAATGTAAAATAAGAATTAATACATATATAATAGAATTTTAGCTTTTGTAGATACAGGGAGTACTAATTGCATTAGAGATGAAGCTTTAGTACCAAAAAGTTATGTTACACAAATTAATGATCCTATTTCAACCTAACAAATGGTTGGAAGGATACATATTTATCAAAATATATTAAAACCTGTATCTAAAATATGTTTTGATACAAATTGTGGTTATAGTAAAGAATATACTCCGCCCCCCAAGACATGGGTTAGAAAACTAAACCTATAAAACTTTGACTTTATTATTTGTTTAAGCTTTGTTTTGAAAGACTATGGTGCTCTGACAATTTCAAAAGATTATCTTCTTTTCTAAAAACATTCTCATATTGTCTCTATTACAACTACATATTTTTCCCCACAAATTAAAATATTGAGAGACTGGTAAAACATAATCAACTTGTAAATGTAAAGAAGAAAATGAATGTCAGTTAGTAGAAGAAATCAAAGATGTAACAAATATAGAAGAAACAGATAGTAAAATAGATGATTTTGTAGAAGATGATTATAATTTCATAAATATAGAGTAAGATTATACAACTTTAGTAACTAAACAAGAAATAGATCAATTTATTTCAAAACTAGAAAAAATGGAAATAATAAAAGAAAATGTTTTAAAATATTGGAAGAATGATAAAATAGTATGTGAACTAAAAATGAAAAATCCAGAGTACATAATCAGAACTAAAAATATAGAACCAACTAACGAATTTATTGATGATTTGAAATTACATATTTCAAAATTATTAAAATTATGGGTCATAAGAAAATCTGATAGTCCTCAAAGATTTGTAGCAATCATAATAAGAAAACATTTAGAAATAATAAGGAAAAATAAAATACTAATTAACTATAAAAAACTAAATGATAATACAATAGATGGTTCTTATAACATACCATACATAAATGTTCTAATCAATATAATTCAAAATTGTAGAGTATTTAGCAAATTTGATTTAAAATCTGATTTTTGGCAAATAAAAATGCATCCTAATAATATAAAATGGACTGCTTTTACAAGTCCAAAATGACATTTTGAATGGATAGTCATGTCTTTTGGATTAAAAAATGTTCCTAATATATTTCAAACAAAAATGGAAGATATATATAATAAACATAAAAATTTCGCTATTGTATATATAGATGATATTTTTGTATTTAGTAAAAATAAACAAGAACATAAAGGACACATGCAAATCATATTCTCAGAATTTGTTAAACATTGTTTGAACATAAATAAAAAGAAGATGCAACTTTTTTTTAAACTATATTGATTTTTTAGGAGTTAACATAGGAGAATGAAAGATAAAATTACAACCTCATATAGCCCAAAAGGCTTTAGACTTTCTTGATAAGTTAGAAGATTTAAAATCCTTACAAAAGTTTTTAGGTTTAATAAACTATGCTAGACCATTTATTAAAGATTTAGGAAAAATAGTTGGACCTTTATATTCTAAAACATCTATATACAAGTCAAAGATATTTTAATCAAGAAGATATAAAATTAGTAAAAATATTAAAATAAAAAATAAAAAACCTCCCAGGATTAGCACTTCTATTAGATACAAATTATTAGATAATAGAAACAGATGGATGTAGTCAGGATAGGGAGCAATTTTTTGTTGTAAACCAAACAAATTTAGTGAAAAAAGTTTGGAAAGAATTTGTAGATATTTTAGTGTTAAATATAAAGAAAAAGACAATATTAGTTGTATAGATATAGAACTACTTGTCATCAATTATGCGTTAGACAGTTTTGAATTATTTATCATTTCTATAAAAGAAATAACTCTTATAACTGATTGTGAAATTAGTGTTTCTTTTTACAATAAAATGAATGGAGATAGTAAAATAAGTAGTAGAAGGAGATGGTTATATTTCTTAGATCGAATAAGGAACACTGGATTAACTATGCATATAGAACACATTAAAGGAAAAGATAATAAAGCGGGTGATATTTTAAGTAGATTATTAGAAAATAAATTTATAAAAAATTAATTATGTTTTGTCCATCTCATATGTCTAGATCCAATTCAGGTAATCCTCGAGGTCATCCACCATTTCATGGTATGGTAAGGCCAAAAGGAATCCCATCAGTAAATTCTTTTGCAGCAAGACCAATACAATCTTTAAACATATTCTATTATGATAATATTATATTTGGTAATCAGACGTTACAAGTTTTTCCAAATAGAAATATTTCTTTTAAAGCTTTACCACATGTTTCTCTTAGTAAAGAAGAAAAATGTTTATTAGATAATTTATGGATATCTTATGGACGGGATCCTAAAGACAAAAAATATTTTATTGCATGTTTAAATGCTTTATCAGAACATTTTAACCAGGCTCACAACCGTTTTAAGTTTTATGTTGTTTTGAAGGGTAGGAAGATGGGTTTCTTCCACACATGGATAGAAGTCGTTGAAGCCATACAAGGGTTTATTGTTGCATTATATAAAGGATTTAATGATTATCATAAGCTTTAACAAAAGCAAGAATGCATTTGGGCATATATATATATATATATATATATATATATATATATATATATATATATATATATATATATATATTATATATATCAGACTCTCTTAAGCATTATGTAGAGCCTCTGGTTACTTATTTAGTAACCAGAGATTCAAATCAAATTATGTTTTGTGATTACTATAAAACCATGAAAAATAATTACAAGGTGTTAAATAAAGAAATTTACAAGCTTAGAAACGAAAAACAATATCTAATTAAAAAAATTAACAATTTACAAAAAAGTTTTCATTCTCAACAAACAGAAGTAATAAATCTTTCTAGTGATTCTTCTTATTGTCCCGAAAAGAAGAGTAAGATGGGTTTTCACTCCCAAATGAGTGATACAAAAAGTACTAGTAAGCCAAAGAAGTTACTAGCTAATCCAGTGAGTCCGACAACTGGTAAAGACTTATCAAATCCGAGTATAGTTATGGAATTGCTAAAATCTCAAGAGACACGGAGGATTCCTGATTCGTCTACAAACAAAAATAATGAGACACAGGGACTCCATTTTCCTCTACAAATAAAAATAAACAAACAATAGAAATTTGGGATTCACTTGGAGAACCAGGAAAACACAAAGATTTCTTAGTCAGATATAGCCCTTCACCCAGTCCAAATAATCCATAATTTTCTTCTTTTACCCTAATCCAAGAAAACCCAGATTCCTTTATTTTTAAAGAAGCCCAAAATCCAAATTATTCTCAAGAAAACCTCCAAAATATTACAAACGAAATAGAAGACTATAAAAATATTATGAACACTCTTCCTCTAGAAAAAATCAAAAACAGAAAAGATTCGATGAAAAAAAATTTCACGTAGCAGTTAATAAAATGGTTCAAGAAATAATGAAGACTATGATTCCAAATTTAGATTCATAAAAAACTATTGCTGAAGATAAACAAAGAAAAGACACTCTTATGCCAAATTATTTGTCATTTCGAAATGATAATGTATCTAGCGAAGAGAGTGGAAACAATAATTCAGAAAATCAATTTGATCCGGATGGAGACAACAATCAATCAGATGATGCATTTTCTTTTGATTTAATTGATAGACACAATCTCAACAGTTGAAGATTTTTTACTATTGAAGATTCTCTACAAGATAAAAAAAACAACAGTCTAAATTTATGGAGACAACTTTATGTAGAATGACACTTGTGCATTTTTTCATTTGTTTCGGTGATATTTTCCCCTTCAAATTCCCCATATAAAGAAGCATTTGGTTAGAATTTAGACATAACTACCAAGAAGCAAAAAACCTCTCCCTCTCACTCTTTCAACCCATTTACTTAAAGGTTCTTGAAGCTCTTCTTCTACTTTGTTGTACAAACGTTGTAAGATATCGAAGTTTGCATGTAAGTTTCTTTCCTTTATTTACTTTTAGTTTTGAAAAAATTGCAAGAATGGTCCCTGTGGTATGTCAAAACTAGCAACTTTGGTCCAAAATGGTTTTGGCTCGCAAGGATGGTCCAATAGTTTCATTTCCTTGCAAGTTTGGTCCAATTTGGTTT